TATATATATTCAGATGGTTGGGAGATGACTGAATTCTTTTACTAATATAGATTAGAGATTGGAAAATATTTTCTATAAAGGGTCACATAGTAAATATGCTAGGCTTTGCAGGCTATAAAGTCTTTATCACAATTGCTAAATTCTGCTATTTAGCATGAAAGCAACCAGTTAACATTATTCTAGTTGATAGTATTTAAATAAGTGTCAGGATCATTGCAAGTTGGAGACCATCCTGGGCTACAAAGTGAGCTCAAGGCCGGCCTAAACTGCATAGTGAAAGAAAGAAAGAGAGGGAGGGGGAGGGAGGGGGAGGGAAGGAGATGAGTGTCCATGTTTGGATAAACGTTTACTTATACACACCAAAAATTGAATTTCATATGATTTTCACATGTAATATAGTTACTGAATTTCATATGATTTTCACATGTAATATAGTTATTTTTTCTTTCAGCCCTTTAAAAATATAAACATCATTCTTAGCTCGCTGTACAAAAAGAGGTGGAAGGCAGATTGTTTGTGGACAGTGGTTTGCTCACTGTGCACTAGATGGCCTACTACAGGTGTCGCTAGCAAGTTTGCTCCTGTGTCTATCTGCACTGCCATTTTTAGTCTGATTACATCTATATTTGTGTTACATTCTTAATCCATTTAAAATCCAAATCTCTGGAGTATTATAATGTAAAAGACTGTGACAGAGATTCTGCATGCATAGAGACTGCAATGCAGGTAGTACAGGTGGTGTCAACCTGAGAAGCTTGACTTCCTGCTTTCTCTGCAAGCAGAATTCCTTGTTCAGATTTGGTTCAGTCATCAGATGTTGGTGGTGATGTACTCCAGGGAGGATTGCTTTCTTACTCTTCTCAAGTAAAAATAAATACAATTTTAAATGAACAAAATATATTTTATCTTTTTTTGTGTATGTGGTTTTTTTAAGACAGGGTCTAAAGAAAACCTTTTTTAGTACTGGCATTACAGGCATCTGTCACCATACCTGGCTAAGACGTTTTATGTTTTTGGCATACTGCAGGTTTAATTTCCTAACGTTTTGTTAGAGATGTGCATGTATTTTTAACTTATCTAAATCTTTATGTTTAAGGGACACCTCCTATGAGTAACATACAGTTAGGTTGTCACATTTTTTTAAAATCCAGCCTGACAAAAAGAAACGCTGTTCGTGGTTACAGCTGAGGGAGGCTTGGGGAAAGGTATCTGTTAGTGCCTGTAGGGACAGAGCAAAAGATGCTGCCAGTGTCAGACAACACACGCCACTTGGGACCCAGGTGACACAGAAAATCAGTAATTGCCAGGGTCCAGAAGCCCTGATTTCTATCATTTTATTTCACTTGGTTTAGCATCTATATTCTTTAGTTATTTTATTGTTGTCTTTCCACTTTATAGTATGCCTGTACCTGTTTAAGTATTCACACTTTGCCCTCAGGCAGTATGGTACTCTCTTACATAGGAAGCCTTGTAACAGGATTCTGCATTTCTCCTCCCAGCCTTTGTGCTAAGGTAATATGTTTTAGTTCTGCATGTGTTACAGCCCTTTCAGTATCTTATTTTTATATCACATTGCACATTGGAGGTATACATTTTGATCACATTTGATGTATGTGTACACTTCTGAAGCCATCCCCACAAGCACAATCATGACCTTACTCATCATTCCCAAAACTTTTCTCTTGTGCCTTAGTAATTTCTCCCCCAAACCCAAGCAACCAGTGATCCGCTTTCTGTCACTACAAATAAGTTGACTTCTTTCTAGAATTTTTATATAAATGGAATCATAAACTATATCGTGTTTTTTTCTGACCTCTTATTTTTAGCATAGTTACTCTGAGACATATCCATGTTGTTATGTATCATTAGAAAACATTTTTAAGGGCCAACATGCCAAACAGATTAATACTGTCAAATAGCATATTGAATTCTACTCACATGATTGGTTTTTTTTTTTAGGTCATGACCGTCCAAGGAATGGTAATCACATGAGAGCACTTATTGGTACAGGTGTCATTTGGCTTATCAGAGAAATTCTGTCTAAGAAAAGATGTCTTGATGGATTCCCTTTACTTTGATTCATACCAAAGCTGTCCCTCTCAACCAAAGCAAGAAAGGATCCTGCATGAATCAGTCCCAGAATGCCATTTTTACATCACCAAGAGGTGAAGAAAACCTCATGAACAGCAATCACAGAGACTCGGAGAGCATCACTGGTGAGCCCAGTTTGATAATGCTTGCAGGGCGAGGTGCAAACACCTCGGTCTGGCCTGTATGACTTGCTGTGAGAAACTGAGCCTCCCTTTCCCACTTGGGATCCTCAAAGACAGACTGAATTAATCTCTCCACCCCTGGCCTCCTTTCCCATGATCAGAATCTGCTTTGTGTGCCAGTCCTTGTCTGTGTTTGACTCCTGTATGCTTGCTAAGTCTCTGGTGAGCAGGAACTGTGTCACTTGCACCTTCTTATCTCTAGAGCACAAGGACAGAGTTACCTGTGTTTATGTGCCCTACAGACCTGGCACACAAGAGGCTCTCAGGACTTCACAGGCATACACTAGGTGCAGGGCCTTCCTGCTTTATCTTCAAGGCCAAATCAGAAGAACACAGAACACATAAAACTCATTTGCTTGTAAGACCTGATCTGTGTGGCTTTTTTATAAACATAGCTAAGTAAGAATATTTATGTTTACTGAATATGTATTGATACGCTAAATACGGGATGCTGCTGCAAAACTAGTTGGGGGTGTTATGGAACATGTAGTTAATGCACAGTACTGTTTTGCTAAAAATCCAGAAAATTCTGAATTCTTAACCCTATCTAGACCTAAAGTTGTTTTTTAAATTCTGCTTTAAAAGTTAATTACAAATTAAATAAATTGAGAGACTAACAAGCTTACATTACCCACATATTTACCACTTACATCACTTTTTATTTCTTTTTGGAAATTGAAATTTCCAGGTGGTATCCTTTTTGCCTAAAGAACTTTAACATTCTTGATAATATAGGTCAGGTGGCAGTGAACAGACTGTTTTTTGCTTCACATGAAACAAAAATCTTTTCACCTTTTTTGAAAGGTGTCTTCATTGTAAAAAAATTCTGAGTTGACCTTTTTCTTCTGTGCTCTTTAACAATGTTCTAGTGTCATCTACCTTGTGTCCAGTGAATAGTTTCAGTTCACTTTTTGTAACTTCAGTGTATCTTTTTCCCCATTTTCTTTGCTGTTAAGATATTCTCTTTATTACTGGTTTTTAGCAATTTGGCTTTCATACGGTTTTCTTTGTGCTTATCTTATTTGAAGTTGTTGAGCATCTTTGAACTGTGAATTTATAATTGTAATTAAATTTGGTGGATTTGGGCCATTATTCAGATATTTTTTCTGTACTCAGCATCATACCAATAGCATCTGAAAAAACAGAACATGAATTGAAAAAATAAAAGTAGCCAAAAATTTTACAGAAGACTCAGTTTACTTTATCCAAGACTGGAGAAATAACAATCACAAATCTCTATGCATATAACAAGTCATAGAAAAATGTGACTCTCTTCTGTGACTCCAACTGCATGTATGTTAGATTGTTGGTCACTGATATGAGTTCTCATTTTTTGTTCCCAACCTTTTTTTTTTTTTTTTTTTGGTTTTTCTCCGGTACCGGGAACCGAACTCACGACCTTGCGCTTGCCAGGCAGGCGCTTCTGCCGCTGAGCTAAATCCCCAGCCCCCCCCAACCTTTTTTTATCATCATTTGGATAATTTCCATTGCTGTGCCTTCAGGCCTGCTGATCTTTTCTCTGGAGCATGTCTAGTTTGCTGACCTTATCCAGAGTATTTTTCACTTTTGATATTGTACTCCAGTTCTATTATAAATACTTATATGTCTTCTGCTTTTAGCTTTATGAATTTCATGTTTTCTTTTTAAATCTTTGAGCATACTAAGAGCTATTTTAAAACTGCTAATTCTGTCATCTTTGTCATTACAGAGTCTGTTTTTCTTGATTTTCCCCCTGATCATAGATTTCAAATTGCTTATTCTTTACATACCTAGTAATTTTTCAGGATGCTGAACATTGTGACTGTTGCATTGTTAGGTGTTAGGTGTTTGGATTTTTATTGCCTTTCTTGGGAGAGTGTCAAAATTTGTTTTGACATGTTTACTGACAAGGTTTATTTTTTTTGAGGTTTTTTTTAATCTTTGTTATGTGGGTCTGTAGACCCTACACTGGTGTTCTTTATTCTAGCATTAATTTAATCCCACTACCAGTAGGCATGATCCTCATGCAGTCTTTACTGATTGTCCAAAATATTCAATGGGATTGTTTTCTATTCTGGCAAGATGAAATTTAGACCTCTTACCCTTCTGTAGGAGAGTGATATAATAGTGTGGAGGATGATTTGATTGCAATGAGGGCAGACCTGTTTTGAAGTCATATTTAAGAGAAACAAATGGACATTTTGAATCTAAAATGGAGATGATACAGTTGGAAAGAAGTGAGAATATGGGAGAGACATTTGGAGGATGAAATGGTAGGAGGTTGTTGAGCTTGGACAAACAAAAGTAATAAGTAGTACATGAGAAATATGGAAGCAGGTAGAAGGAGCCACTCTGAAGAATATTTAGCTCAGTCTACTAAATTTGGGTTGTATATTTATTTTTAAAATTACCTTTTGGAAGTAGACCTTGGGTTTTCACAGGATTTCATTAATACTTAAAATGATGTTTTAACCCAACATCATTTTTGTTCTTCGTTTCCATTATACGCTTTAATTTTGACTAGTTTGTGTTTTTGTTCTATGTACTGTCACCTTCTTTTCCTGCAAGTATTATAATGACATGTATTATATGTGACAAGAAAATTATGCATAATGACTTGGAATTTATAGTAATAAAATTTGAATGTAGTTTCAGGGCTGTTATTTAAAAGAGACCTATCAAGGATTGAGAGCTTTTTTTAGAACCATAACTAAAATTTGTATCTCTGTGTTATGAAGCCACGGTTTCTCCTTCTGAATTAATAGGGATATCTGGTGTTGTCTGCTTCTTTGTCCTTGACTTACTAAATTGCCATTAGTAAGTTACTGTCCAGTAGTAGATATTTACCCTTTTGAAGTTTGTTTTCTTTGCCAGAGTTAGAGCATGTTTCTTTTACTACTCACAAAGGAAATACCACAACTCTTAAAAATGAGAGAGTAGATAATTACATCCTGTGTTTTCTCTATTTTAAGTCCTAGTATTTTAAGCATGTTAAAAGAGATGTGTACTCCACCTCCTTTTTTTAAATGGCTAAATTTGGAAGGTGTTAGATGACGGATAGTATTGGAAACAGGAAGCTTGGAGCAGACACATCAAGAAGAAAATGCTAGCAGTGTGCAAGTGAGAAAACAGTGATGTGAACAGGCTTCAGTGAGCCCCTCAGTGTGCCAAGTGTTACCCTGGGTGCTTTGGTTGTTTGTAACTTATTTACTTCTAACTACTACTGTGTGTGGTGGATGATTCTCTTTATTTTACAAAACAGAAATAAAGACCTAGAATAAATAAGTCATACATCTGACATCCACAACTATTAAAGTGGAGGAGTAGATTTAGAAGCTGGGTCTGATTCCAAAGCCCAGAGTTCTTTCTGATGTTAAGAATGAAAAACAGGACAATAAGTGGGGCAGACACCTGGAGGAATTAGAAGATCTGTAAGGCTGCTATGGCCTGTTAGAGGCGTGGTGTGTAGGAACGTGTCATCTAAGACAGGTGGCAACCCTTTGTCCTGGGAAGAAATGGGAGTAGCAGCAACAGGGAGCTGTGTTTTGGTGGGCACAGTGCTGGATAGGAAATTCAGGAGCCCAGTGCCCTTTCAGAAGTCACTACCTTCATGGCTCAGCTTCCTTATCTAGGTGACAGGATGGGCGGTTTCTGAAGTACCTTCCACCATGTGTATTCTGTAACTATGTAGATGTTGTACCAACCTTAGACTTGATTTGATTGCTAAGTCTAAAAACTCACTAGTGTAACAATAATGAAGATAACTAACATTTAGCAAATACTTCCATGGCATGCCAGGCATTGTTCCTAACTATGAATATTTTTTGTGCACTTATCTTACTTAATTCACACAGTCACTATGGAGGTAAGTGCCACAATACTGCCATAACTGTTTTATAAGTAAAAAGCTGGGCTTAGAGGTAAAAATCCCACCCAGTATCACATTATGTTACATACAGAGCCCAAACTTGAGCCCAGCATGGTTACCTGTATCCTAGGAAATGTATCAGAAGGCAAGGGAAGATTTTTAGGAAGAAGCAGTTTCTTTTCCTTTGGTACTGGGAATGAAACTCAGGACCTTGCACTTGCAAGGCAGGTGCTTGTGCTGCTGAGCTATATCCACAGCCCCAAGGAAGCAATTTTTTTTTTTTTGGTACCAAGAGTCAAGCTCAGGACCTTGTGCTTGCCAGGCAGGTGCTTGTCTGCTAAGCTATACCCCTGGCCCAGCAATTTTTTTTTCCTCCTTTAAATATCCTTCTCACATATTTAAGCCTTTAATTATACCACATCTTTAAAATTAAAATTCTTAAGTACTTATATTAATGCTTTGTAGACATTAATTTTTACAAAATTTCTAACTACTGTTAGAAAATATTAAAACATATTTCACAATTTTGAAAAATGCTTCCACAAACTTCAAACATTAAATTTTGTCCCCTTTGAAGTGATTATTTTCTGCTGGTTGGTTTGTGTTGCTTCTCCTCAATCTCATGCCCAAGATGTAAGTGGAGATTAGACCCCTTTAGAAAGATTGATACAACACAGGAGCCTGAGGCAGGAGGATCACTGTGAGTTCAGTGCCAGCCTGTGCTACATAGTGAGACTGTCTCAAAAAAACAAACAAAAAATTGATACAGAAGAAATAAGAAATTGGCTTCAATTCATATTAAACTTTTAAAATGTAATTATAATCACTAAACAGTATACTTTTGATAGTGTATAATTAAATTTTGTGGCATCATTTTTACTTGAGAAGTTCTCTTTTTAAAGAAATTAGAAAAAGACCAATAATAGTAAGTCAGTGGAGGAATGATCTCATTTAATTTTCTTTGGTTTTCTGCCTTCAAAAATCCAATTTTACCGTGGTCTGGTGAACTGAAATGTACTGGATTCATTTATATGAGCTCTCCCCTAGATGTCTGCTCCGATGGGGACCTCCCTGAAGTTGAACTGGTGAACCTGCTGGAGGAGCAGCTGCCCCAGTACAAGCTGCGGGTGGACTCACTCCTTCTGTACGAGAATCAGGACTGGGCACAGTCGCCACTCCAGCCACAGCATGCATCTGATACCCTCTCCCCAGTCCTTGCCGAAGAGACTTTCCGATACATGAGTGAGTGTTTTTACCCTGTGAGACCTTGTCCATGTAAAAAGACCATGGGTTTCACAGAATTGACTTTTGAGTCTTTTGACACTTGGTGATTGTTTGGTGTTTGCCTGCTTTGATGCTATAACTGGTTTTACAGGGAGAGCCAGTGTTATGTCTGGTGCAGGATGGCAGTCATTCTTGCAGCTCTGAGTGACAGGGTTTCAAGCATAGATGTTTCCATTTCTTCCATCTTTTAATAGATACCTTCTTTGGGCTGAGAAGAAAAAAAAGAAAAAGAACTTTTTAAAGAGCAGAATGTATTTATTGAGGGAAAAAAAAGAAAGCTGCTGTCCAAGAGAGGGACAGAAGTGGGGCCTGAGTGGGTTACCCCCCCAACTCTTTCTTTTCTAGGGACTTTTATAAAACAAACCATGAGGTGAGGCGGGTCGAAGGTAGGGGGAAAATGAACAAAACTATGGTCAGCCAGTAAGAATTGTTTGGGTAAAACTGATTAAATTGGCATCAAATGGGGAAGCGAGTCACATAGCAAGCAGGCATGAATGCAAAACGGGCTTTTCCTGTAAGGGGTTGGGTCAAGGACTCTTCAAGGTGATCACTACCTATTTAGAATATCAATCCCTGATGTCCAGCCCTAGGGAGGTATGGGGGTGCATTTGTTTAGTCCTTTGTCTTGAAGTCTGGCCCACAGCAAATACGTATCTTTCATGTTGCCTCCTTTGAGGCCCTGGCCCTGCCTGACTGCCTATAATATTTCTATCTAACTCAGCTGCCTGTAACATTCCCCCCTCTGAAGAAGGAACCCAAACTGCCATGAGGGAGTAACGGGCGATGACTGCTCTGGCTTCTTCAAGCTGAAAGGGGTTGTAGTTGTTGATTGGCAGTCAGAGATACTCTTCAGAGGGTCTGTCTAAAGACCCTCGATAAACACCAGGCGTTTTCATCTTGGATAAGCATATGGCTTAAATCTCTGTCCAAGGATCTCAGTGGGGACTCCAAAATGATACAGGAAAATAAAAACTCGCAACCTGATATCTGGGACGAGTTCGTGTTCTCTAACATCGAAGAAGGAGCTTTAGGAACAACGGAGGTTAAGAGCAGAATATATTTATTGAGGGAAGAAAAAGAAAGCTTCTGTCCAAGAGAGGGATAGAAGGGGGGCCCGAGTGGGTTACCCCAGAACTTTTAAAGTTAGTGAAATTATTTGAAATTTTAATATCCCCATGTAGCTGTCAACATTTATAATTCCAATAGTTTGGTACCCTTTTTGGTGTTTATTTTCCTTTATTCAGTATAGTCACAGAAATTATGTCAGTCAGTAAAAACCAGTCTTTACATACAGTAGTTTTAAGTATCCCAACACCCGTGTAGAGACTGAGGAGGATCCTTGCTAGTTTGAGCCTAGGCTACAAAGTGAGCTCAAGGCCAGCCTGAACTGCATAGCAAGATCCTGCCTATAAATAAATAAATAAATAACTTTATTAATACATGTGATTGAACAAAGTTTAAAAAGCAAGAATACAGAATCTTTCCCCTTGTTTCTTTTCTTTTTCTTTTTTTTGTGTTAGGGAATCAAACCCAGGGACTCACGGGTGTGAAACTAACCCAGTGCTGCTGAGCTGTACACTGACCCCTCTTCCCATAGTGTTCTGTACCCCCATTCAGATTTGTGGCTTTGGATAACTTTTCACTCCCTCGAAGGCCATCCCTGGGCTCAACCCCTATCTTCCTACTTCCCTCATGTGCCAGTAGATCCCTGTGTTTACTGAAGTGCTTTTCAGTAACTGAGGCATAGGTACTTCTTCCTTATGTAGCACACGTGGCTGAAAGAGCTGTCAAAAGAAAGTGATGAGTTAGAGGGAAACGTGAGTGGCCTTTAAGGTTGGAGTCTGTCTCACATGAATGAAAAGCGGAGTTCTCTGAAGTTACCAAAACCAGAGAGATTGTTTACTTAGAACACTTGAGAGCAGGGCCTGCTCTACACACTCAGAAAGCTTAAGGTGCTCAAGGAATGTCTTACATGTAGGCAGGTCATCCAGAGTTTTCCTCATTTTACTACAGTAGGGCAGGTCCTACAGTAAGCTATGGGGCGAAGTGTGCCTTCCAAACATATAGGATAGGAAGTACCATCTGTTGAGGAAAAGGTCAGAGTAGACATATGGATTTTATTTGTGAATAAAAGATTACCAGCACTCTCTAAGAGGAAAGGAGAATGACTATACATAAAGTTTTATTTTAGGCAGCTATTCTCAAAATGCGGCCCCACCCTCAATATCACCAAGGAACTTGTTAAGAGGGCAAGTTCTTAGATGCACCAAGGCTATGCTACTGTGTTTTTCTGGTGATGCCGATGTGCACCTGTGTTCCAGAACCAATGATAGGAAGCGTTGTAAACCAAAGCAAATGGCCATTTCGCAGAGACATTAATTGAAGAATAAGGACTTAGGAAGGGTATACAATTTTACAGATACATACACTCGCAAAATTTATTGCCTCTCATTGGTACGTATACTTTTCCCCACAGTCTACCCTCAGAAATCATCAGCTTGTACTGGCATGAAAAGAAGCATGACTGATAATATGCAGAAAGTGTTAATCATCAGTCAGGGCCTAGAGGCTAGCAGATTTATAATCCCCCTAGATCAGCCCTCTCTGTTGGTTCCCCAAGAGAATTAAGCTTGTGCCCCAGTATATCTGTTGTATAATCTTATCACTTACATATCATATACTGGCTTTGTACTGTATTTGAGAGAATTGGGGAAATTGTCCCTCAGTCATTGTCTGCAGGGCTTAATTCTCCTGGGGTCCCTATTGAAAAAGGTAGCCTGGCTGGGTACATTTTCGGTCTCCTTTCGTTCTGTCTCAGTTCTTCAGAAGGCAGTTTTCTGCATTATATAGAATTGCCTTCTGTATTATGGCAGGAAGAGCTGCATTCCTTCATGTTAAAACTACTTTCCCCGCCTCTAGTTTTCCGGAGCTATTGTAGCTTTTACTGCACACTTTGGCAGTGTTTGTGTTTTCTTTCATTTTTGTTGACATTTTGGTTTGGTTTGAGTTGGTATGTGAAGGTGGTTGGAGAGTAATGAAAGATTAAATTCTTTTAAAATTCAGAAATTGTGGTAAAAACTCCACATCTTGGAAAGGGACATGTAAAAGAACTGTCCTGCAGCATCTGTGGTAAATGACAGAATCCGCAGAATGGAGTGACAGTGGTGCTCCTGGACATCGTGTGAGATAGATCATAAAGAAAGGGTCAGTTAAGTGCTCGTGTCTACCCACACAGCCCGAATTTTCAGAAACATTAAATTCTCCAAGTATTACCCAAAAATGGTGAATATGCATGAACAACCTTCAGAAATTAAGGGGCAAATCGTTACATAAAAATGTTCAGCATTTCCCTCATCTGTTAATACAATTTTTAGAGAGTTAGAAAAGTTTATGTGTGGAAATAAGCAAGGATCATTGCTTATTTGTGTACCATGTAACATATTTTTCTTTAGCGGCTTCTGAGAGAACTGTTCCTCTCAGAGAAGAACTGTTAAATTTTGGTAGAACTGATTGTAATACAGTCAGCCTACTGGCCAGTCCTGGTCTATGGCTGCTGCAGCATTTAATTACCGTGCTCAATGCCAAGAGAGTGATGAGATTTGCCCTGAGTGCTGTTGGAGTCCTTCAGGCGGCGTGTCTTTATCAGGCCATTGAGTGAGGGAGGGCACTGCTGAGCTGGCAGAGCAGAAACCTTCAGCTCGGAGGTGGCCTAGTCTTTGGGGCTTGGTGGTATTTAGGCCGTTTCACATAAAACATTAGAATTGGAGAATTATGGTTGCACAAACTTTTTTGTCATAGTAAATATTTAAATAACTTAAATTTCATTTTTTATATTTTGAAACCTTTTAGCTAGAATTGTTTTTTGTTTTTTCTAATTGCAGAAACATTTTTTCTTCATGGAAAATTAGCAAAAAAAAAAAAAAAAAAAAAAATCAGAACAGAAAGCAACAGATCAACCATAATTCCCACCCAGAGATAATCACTACTAATATTTGAAAGCCAGATGCGGTGGTATATGCTTATAATCTTAGCACTTTGAGAAGCTGAGGCAGGGCTGGAAGTGTAGCTTAGTAGTAGAGTGCCCTGTGTTTGATCCAGAGTACTATCAGAAAAGAAAAACCCATCCCTATTTATGTATATTCTTCCAATCTTGCTCACATACAGGTATATATAGATATGTTCCCACTTTACAAAGCAATACTGAGATCTGTGCTATTTTTATAATGTGTTCACAGATGTGTCACACACTGGTGTTTCAATAGACAAGAGCTTTTTGATATTAAGATGGCTGTAGTAGAAACAGCAGCATAGTGGGAAGAGCCATAGTTTTGCTGATTATGGTGAGTTGGGCATTATCACCTGCATATTAAAATCCTGACTGTACCACTGCTAGCTTGCTTGTGATCTTGGATATGTCACATAATTCCTCTCAGAGAAGATCCTTATGAAGGAAAATTATGTCATTAAACTGGGTAACTTAAATTCTCATACTGTGACAAGTGGTGAGCATTAGTAATAGGAGATATGTTTTCGTTTTTTCTCTTTATAACATTTATTCTAAATATTTATTCACTGTATTTAGTGTCCTTTTCTTCCCCTTTCTTCATGTGTGACTTAGGGTCACAGTTGTTTATCACATACTCAGCTTATGTGACCTCGCTGATGAGCCATGAGTTGTGCCAGGTACTTTTAAACTAGTTGTCTGAACACTGTCTTATCTGAGTCTTTAGGATTCTAGGTTCTCACTTTGGGTGTCGTTTAGCCCTGGATCCATGGCTTTGTCCAGGCTGCACATCCGGGAATCTTCTTGTTACCCCGGTCCTGAGACGACTCCAGATCAATTAAACCTGGATCTGGAGTTGCGTGCCTGTGCTCCTGCTTGCCTTTGGTTTTCCAACCTTTGGTGGTTTTCTGTAAGGGTTAGAGCACAGACATATTGATTTGATTCCCCCCCCCAATTTATTATTGAAATGGAACTGAAAGAAAGCCCTGACTGTAAGCACCTGCCTTCGTGTGTAACTGTGTTCTTGCTCTGCTGTCCAATTGAAGTGTCTGTTCCTCAAGCCCAGTGCTTTTTTTAGCACCATGGTTAGATTACGGAGCCAGTTTTTCTTGTAATGTATATTCTTTTGGAGTAAAAATGTTTAGGCTTTTTTAAAGTCTGTATTTTCAGTTTAAGCCTTTATCTTACTTCTTACTACCAGTGAGCCAGCGTTTTGTTTTACCTTTAATGAGGAATAAGTTACTAGTAAACTGTAGGTAATTCCTAGATTCATTTTAGTTGTGCTAGGGGAAAAAACTAAAAGCTGGGATAAGAGTAAAAGGTATTGAAGAGTGTCCCTACAGTCTTTTGGGCGCCCTACAGTGTTATGATGGGACTAAGGAACTACAAATGACTTAAATCATGGTGTGCACTGCTCACTCAGTGAATTCCTTACAGGAAGCATAGACTCAAGGCCATTCCATACCTACCAGTTGTGTTTAAGGAGCAGTCACTATGTTGTATGGTATTTAGCAGTTTACGGGATACTTTGTTGTACAGTATGTGTAATGGTTGATACATTGTGTCAACTTGAGAATTGCAAAGTTTAGAAGCTTAATTGAGTGACTCAGCAGGCCAGGGTCCTCTTTGTAAATTTCCTGAGCTTGTGGAAGGGGAGGCCATGGAAATGGTTTGGGTAGATAGCCTGCACACAGTATGAGAGAGGAAAAGAGGCTTGCTTTCCACCCCACTTTTGCTCTGGTTGCTTTTGCTGTCTCTGCCTCTGTGAACTGTTGCCTCTGTGCCATGCCACCCTGCCTTGGAGCCAGCTGAGTATGGACTGAAACCTACACAAACTGTGAGCTGAATAAACCTTTCCTCCCTTAATTTCGGGCATCAGGTATTTTGTCTCAGCAACAAGACAGAAGTAACCAAGACAGTGTGATCATCATATTTGATCCTCCTAGAGACCTTGTATCTAAGAGCAAGGTTATCACTTTCGTATTATAAATGTGGAGCCTGAATCTGAGAAGAGTTAGGTGACTTATTCAAGTTTACTGAAATAAATGAACTCAACTTTTCTGTTTCAGAGCCTTTTTTTACAGTTCAGGCAAGCTAATTATGAATCTAACTCATACACAAATCCGGGCACACACTTGAATAACTTACAATGTGTTCAGAGTCAAAAGAATTTTTTTATGTATCTTGAGCTTTAAGAGATACTAATTAGTGTGCTGTAGAGTCATGGGAGTCATATTTGCCCCTTTTCTTGAGGTAATTTTGTCTGGGTACATTCATGATAACTTAAACTTCAGAGTATCAAAATACTGGGCTTAGATTATTCACGTAATAATATGGTATACAGTTTATTTTATAGCAAATATAGATATGAATGGGTATAGTATATATTACTATACACATAAAGGGTTTTTAATTAAACTTAAAAGGATTGTGGTTCAAAACAGTATTACGAAAAGCCCTACAGGTTTTGTTCCTTGCTTGCATTGGTCACATGGTAGGTGATCTTCTATGGTCAAGATAACCGTAGGAGAATTTTAATTAAATTTCTTTGTGACGTCATGACGCCACACTAACTCAGCCTTCAGTAACTTCAGTTTTGATGGGTTTATAAAGCCTCATTCTCTCAGCCGTCTTTCTCAGATGTGAGTGGGCTGAACTTCTTACAGTCCCAGAGGAGGAGAAAGTAGTCAAGAAATGACTGCTTTGCAGTCATCTGATTTATTGTGTGATGTACATTTTGTAGTGATTGGTCTATTTCCTGAGTGTCTAATGCATTTAAAAAGTCTGTTCTTTTTTCATTTTTATTCTTCTGAATGATTTCTGGTAAAAGCCTATAGGTTTTGTCATTGTTATCTTCCAATTCTTACAAATACTATAAATTACCCATTATTTCTGAGGCCTATAAATAATTATTTTTAACTGTTTTAGTTCTAGGCACAGACAGGGTCGAGCAGATGACCAAAACGTACAATGACATCGACATGGTTACACATCTCCTGGCAGAGGTAGGAGTGCTTCTTTTTGGGGATCATTTGGAAGCTATCAAATTGTATATCGATGAAAGATGAATGTGTGCGTGATCTGGGTCATTTTGTGTAAGGTGGTTACAGCTGGAACAGCTGGCATACCAGTTGGCATTCTAGGGTAGATGGTTCCTGAAGTTGGTAGTGAAGTTACAGATGATGGGAAGGTTGATTGATATGGTGCTGGCTGGCTTCCCCTTCCTGAAAAAATGGTTTTTAAATTGTTCCTGAGATAAGCGAAATAAATCAAACATACATGTGCAAGCACCGCATTGTTTCTCTAGTGTAAAGCCTGAAAGAGTTAATTTAATCTAGGAGATATGATAGACATTGAGAATTGATAGGAAAGAACTCATAGGTAAAGGATAACTGGGATATGGGAAAAGAGAAGGGAAAGAAGGAGAAAGTTTGTATATATGTATATGTGGGATAGTTAACACGGGTGTTCTACTGTCCTGTATTTCCTTGCTGAAAGAAACTGTCAGTGAGTCATTGGTTGATTAGCTTTGTATGTCTATATGTGTTTTCATGAGAAACTACATTGAAGATATCAAAATGTAATACAATAAGCATTGTTAATTCCCTACCACTCTGTTTGTAACTCTGTAATGTCTGTACTGATCCTATGCTATTTTGTAAAATGTTGTCAGTCTGTTAGTATTTTCCTCCTTTAATTTCTAAAATAAAAAAAAAAAAAAATTGTTCCTGAGATAGAGCTGCAGCTCCACTACAGACCAGCCCCTGCAGGTGGAAGCATCTCCATGTTTACTGTCCTGGGAATCGAACTCAGGACCTTAGGCTTGCCAGGCAGGTGCTTGTGTTGCTGAGCTGTACCCCCAGCTCTCCATGTTTACTCTCAACTTGGGCTCTTTGAGCTCAACCTGTCCATGGCATTTTTAACATACACAGTAGAAAAGCTGGCAGTCCCAGGTATTCTCTTCTGTACTCAGTTTCACTTGATCTTTGGAAGACTTTCTCTGTGGTGTGCACTTCTGTCCTCTCCCACTAGCCCCCGGAATGATTTCCATGTATGCCACTTGGCTAAATGAGATACACAGCCTTGCAGTACAGAGATAACTTTTCATGTGCTATGTAGAGGAAAGGAAGAAGCTTAATTTTATTCATTCAGTGATCAATGTAAGTAGAACCCACACTCCTGTGATAGTTTTTTATCCTGTAAATAAAATTGTGATCACTCTTAGGAATGTGGGGTTCTGCACCCTTGCCAAGTGTCCATCTACGCAGAATGAGTAACTCTGAATAGGCCCTGTTGGGCCTTCCTGAGTCCTCCTGTGTCACACCAACTTCATAGCTTCTTCTCTATATTCTAGGCCAAGTGCTATAGCCTCACAATGTCCTGTTTTATTTCATATTGTCATTCTTGTACCAGTTATCAGCAGAGCTCTTGGCTGCGTTGTCCTCTAAGCCACCTGCTCTGACTGCATGTGAACTTGCCTTAGATGGAACTGTTTTCAGCATTCTCATCTGGTTTCCATGGTGGAAAGACCTCACTCTGTACCATTACCATGTTTCCTGCACGGTCGCTGTCAATGGTATTTGGGGGGCTTTTACTATACAGGGTCTGTGTGTGTCTTTGTGTACACTAGAAATTGAACTCCAACATTCTAAGCATTGCTGCCGTTGAACTGTAGCCCCAACTCCCCACCCTCCACAAAGTCTTTGTTGCTTTTTTTCTTTTTTGTCTTATGTTGAATTCCTAATTCCCTACAGTTATATAAGTCTAAAGGTTGAACTCTTGGGTTCTGATAACTAGGATAATCAAGACAATCTCACTTGATGTCAAGAAAAATTCCTTTTTGCATTTAGAACCATAGTATCATCCATTTGACCAGCATTTGTTAAACACTGTGTATGTGGCCATGTTTATTTGTGGTATCTGACTGGTAAAATGAATGTTGGTGCTTTCAAGGACATTACTTTTGAAAAAGTGTATGAAAATTGATTGCAGAACTTCTAAATTTCTAATTTTGTCTGTACTCAAAGAAAAGGTGTATTTGGTATTTTAACAGAGAGATCGTGACCTAGAGCTAGCTGCTCGAATTGGACAAGCTCTGTTAAAGCGAAATCATGTCTTATCTGAGCAGAATGAATCCCTGGAGGAACAGTTGGGGCAAGCCTTTGATCAAGTAAGCCTTGGATGTGGTATTTGTACCATGAGATGATTAGGTCTCACGCAGTGGAGAAATAACATTTTCCACAGGCATCTCTGAAATGATGACTCAGGTCAGTCAGACCTGATAGCTGTTGGATTGTTGACAGCCATTGAGCTGAACTGTAGGGAGTAAAATGCTGTTATGCAGAAGAGTACTCGGGTGACTCTGCCTTAGTCAGTTCAAAGCCTTTCAGTGTCGTGGTACCTGTGGCACTCTGCTCAGTTAGGTTCCTGGGCTATTCCCACCCTTTTGTGTGTACTTTGTGATCTGATCTTTTTTTTTTGTCTATTTGAGACAGGGTCTCACTATGCAGCTCAGGCCAGCCTTGAGCTCACTTTGTAGCCCAGGCTGTTCTTGAACTCGTGACAGTCCTCCTGCCTTAGCCTCCCGAGTGCTGGGATTATAGACCTGCACCACCATGCCCAACTGTGATCTGATTTTAAATTTTTTAAAAAATTAGTACCTAATAAAGTAAAAGAAAGGTAAAAAAACTAAAAAGAAAAAATAAGTGCCTAAATGTAGGTATCTTTACTTAGAAACAAAAACAAAAGGTAGACGAGAAAAAGACATTTGAAAATCTTTTTTTTCCATGTCAATAAATGCTTATAGTAAAATTATTATCAACTTGAATGGTTACATCTCAGACTTTCTGACTTGTTGTTTTTATCTGGTTTTAATTACGTTTTGTAAATACATTATGGTTGATAGTATTTAGACCTTTATGTTGAAAGTATCTCTTCCCTAGAACTAAAAACAATACACCTAGAAAGACATGCACAGTTATATGCAATTTATAGATATAAGCCCTGACGATGAGAATTTGAAGTACGTCTATTCTGATACTTTGAAAGTTTTTCAGTTTTGTTTTGTTTTCAATGGTGGTTGTATCCTTATTATCTTCAATATAAATTTCGTCCTATATTCCTGCTTATTGTAGCGCATAAATACTATACTATAGAAAAAGTTGTATTTTTTAGTGAATAGTCTAAAACTGAAGCTTAGGAAGTATCTGGGATCAGTTTCTCTTGTGTTAGCACTTGTCTCTAGAGTCATTCAGGTCTAGCAGCTGATTTTGTGATTTTTTTCATGGTGAAAAACTGTTGTTTTATAAATTAGAAGCTATATTATATGTAACTAATGCATAATAAAGAACGTATTTTAATCAAGCACTTCTTATGTGCAGGTTAATCAGCTGCAGCATGAGCTGTCCAAGAAAGATGAGTTACTTCGAATTGTTTCTATTGCTTCAGAAGAGAGTGAAACTGATTCCAGCTGTTCTACACCTCTTCGGTTCAATGAATCCTTTAGTTTATCTCAGGGTTTACTGCAGTTGGATATGCTTCAAGAAAAGCTCAAGGAACTGGAAGAAGAGAATATGGCCCTTCGGTCCAAAGTACATTCAGTTCAGTTCTTATTTTCCTTATTTCAAAGGCTGTAAGACTCAGATCCAGGTAGTATTGAGATTCCTTTACTTCAGAGGGTATAAAACTGTTCCAGGTAGGATTGGGACGAAATATGATAGCATTCCAGTTAGGGATGGCAGACAAGGAACTTTGTATCTTCCACTGTTACCTGGAGTGGAGCAAGGGAGCTGCTTGGCAAATCCATTTCCATTCCTTTATTTTGTGGAGATAAAACTTGACAGAGATTGTTCTTCTTTCATAAGTGATAAACTAATCTTCAAATGTCAAAGCTTTTTGTAGTCATTATTATAAAACGGTTGGAAGATATTGTCACAAACAGACTTTTTTTCCTTGAAGGCTTGTCATATCAAGACAGAAACTTTTACCTATGAAGAGAAGGAACAGCAGCTTGTCAGTGACTGTGTTAAAGAACTCCGTAAGTAGGAACACACTGTTTCATAGCCTTGCGGTGATTCTTTGGTAGGATATCTCTAACTTAGAAATTAGATCAATGGTTTCAGTAGAAGCATCTCAAGAAGCAATTTAAAATCGTTACTCTTATTCTGGTTTGTTTTGCTATAACAAAGTATTGGAGGCTAATAAGATATTGGGTGACTTATAAAGAGAGTTACTTGGCTCAGCATCCTGGTGGCTGGAGGGTTCCCACAGCATGCGCCTATCCTAGCTGGGCTCCTAGCTGGGTTGCAGCCTGTTGTAGAAGCAGAAAGGGCTACATGCAGGAGCCAGGCATGTGGAAGGGCAGGTTTTGCATCATAAGTCCACTCTCAAGAGCACTGATCCAGGAGAGGAGGCCCTTGGAGAGGCCTGCATTTCTGCCTTCCAGAGGCTGTGCACATGACCCAGCTCTTCCACAAGCCCACCTGAGAGGTCCCGCCACCTCTCTTCCATACTGGGCCACGCTTTCTTGCCCATGGACTCTGAGGGACAAGCCACATCCAAACACAGCAGATACTGAAAATCTCAGACTTTTACACTGAGCCCATACTCAATACGATATATGTATTTTTAAGAAATGTATTTTTTAATTGTCATCATCATTAAGTAAAGACCTGCATTTCTATAAATAAGCTGTAACATGCACAGCTCACATTTGGTTGCTGAGGATGTCTTTCCTTAGAGGATAGGACTTGCCAGAGTCAGAAAACTGACTAGTGGCAGAGCCAGGGTTTAAAAGGTGGTGTAAAACCCAACATTCAGTGACTGTTTACCAAGTGCCAACAGTGTAGTCTTTAAAGGAATATTTTCATCAGAGACAGTGTTAACTAAAGTAATTCTTTGCTGGGCATGAGGGCACATACCTGTAATCTCAGCACTCTGAAGGCTGAGGCAGGAGAATTGCCATGAGTTCAAGGCCAGCCTGGGTTACATAGCGAGACCCTGTCTCAAAACAAAAACCAACAACTGATATTTTAAAAATAGATCATGGAGAAACATTGGCTTTAGTTTCTCTATACATAGTCTTTTTTTGTTTTTGTTTTGTTTTTTGAGACAGGGACTCTATGTGGCTCAGGCTGGCTTTGAACTCACTATGTAGCCCAGGCTGGCTTCAAACGCACGGCAGTCCTCCTGCCTCAGCCTCCCAAGTGCTAGGAATACAGGGGTATACCACCATGCCTGGCTATAAATATAGTGTTTTTATTGAAAGAGATAATATGATCATGTCAGTTCATTTTGGCTGTGGGTCTCAAGTAAGATTATTAGAAAACCAGAAGGGGTGTACCTGAACCTTTTTTTTTTTTTTTTTTTTGGTCTTTTTTGAGACAGGGTTTCACTATGCAATTCAAGCTGGCCTCAAACTTGTGGTAATCCTCCTGCCGTAGCCTCCCAAGTGCTGGGATTATAGGCATGCATCCCACACCAGGCAAATTTTTTTTGTACCGAGAATTGAACTCAGGACCTTGTGCTTGCCAGACAGCTGCTGTGCCACTGAGCTATATCCCGGCTATAATTGAATCTTTAATTTTTCCACAAGCTAAAATCCAAGACTCCTGCCTCTTTATTGCCATCCTTTGAAATCAAGAAGCTTTTAGTCAATTAAGAAATATTTTTAAGTGACAGTGAGAAAATTTTTCTGCTTGTGTTTAGATGTCAGATTTTCTATATGCAGTCAAGTTTGTTATTTCCACAGAGGGATTCTGAGGGTCCTGTTTCATTGCATGTGAGAAGCCAAAGCCGTAAGCATTACTCTTGAGGCCTGCTCAGTTTGCTGAGTGTCCCAGAGTCTCTGCTGCAGAAGCAGCTCAGTTAGCTTCAGCCCAGGCTGTCGTAGATGGTAACTGCCCCATTCTAGAAATCTGGAAATGTCCCTTTGTTAAGTTCGTTATGATTAATTTTCACTGCTCGTGGGATTTTGTTTATGTCCTAGAGAGTTCTCAGAGACATAAATAAAATTAATTCTTCATACTTGCAAGAATGTGTACTTCACTTAGCTCTCTCTTCAGCCTTTTATCCTCCATAATGAGAAAGATTGGAACAAATATCTTTTTCATAAGGAAAAAAAATTAAGCAAAACTTTAGCTCTCTTTGTATGTCATCTCTCTAGTTCAATTCCCAGCATCAGCCTATCTTAGAAAAATCTTCACTTTTCTAATTTATGTTGAAGAAAAATCTAGTCATGATAGTCCAATGCTTGTTATAAATCAGAATTTGGCCTGTATGCTGTCATTTGCCAATATGTGACCTACCTTTATATTAATTTTTTTTTTTTAATTTTTTTTCCAAGGTGAAACAAATGCTCAGATGTCCAGAATGACTGAAGAATTGTCAGGGAAGAGTGATGAACTAATTCGATACCAAGAAGAGATTTCCTCTCTTTTATCTCAGATCGTAGATCTTCAGCACAAAGTTAAAGAAGTAAGGTTGTTCATTTGTTCAACTGACATTTGTTGTTGTTGTTTTTTTAAACCAAGTATCAAACTCAGGACCTGACACTTGCCAGGCAGGCCCCTTGCCCCTGAGCTATATTGCTGGACCTCAACTGACATTTGTTAAGCGATGACCTAGTCCCATGTACTCTGCTAAGCGCGAGGTACCTTGGACAAAATAAACATGATCCCTGCCCTTTTTAAATGCCTTAGTCTAATTGCTGCCTTAGTCTTATTTGCTAAAATGTTCTGAATAACTACTTTCAAGTGATTATTTCTGTGAATGGAGTTAGATTTCCCTTGGAAAGTTGTGAATTACTAACTCATGTTCATTGTCTTTTGAACACTTTTTGGATTTTGTGTTCTTCCCATTTTGTTGCCCTTAATTGGCTTTTGAAAAAGATAAGACCTTGAAACTGTACCCAAGAAAGAAACACTTAAGATAGCATTTTTTGTTTGGTTTTGTTTTTGTATTTGTGAGACAAGGTCTCCCTATGCAGTTCAGGCTGGCCTTGAGCTCACTTTGTACCCCAGGCTGGTCTTGAACTTGCAAAGATCCTCATGCCTCAGCCTCCCAAGTGCTGGGATTACAGGCATGCACCACCATGCCCAGCTTTAAGATAGTTTTAAAAGGGAGAGCTACATTTTATATGGGAAGGAAGGCCTCACATGTCTCCTTTCATATGTTGTTAGCACGTAATTGAGAAGGAAGAGCTAAGACTGCACCTGCAAGCTTCTAAAGATGCCCAGCGGCAGCTGACAATGGAGGTAAAAACTCTTCCTTTATTTTGCGTGATTTAGGAGCATAGGAGTGAGAAGCTTCCTTTGTGAATAAGAATTACTAAAGAGGAATTACTAGATATAAAAACAGCAGCAACAACAAAAGATTAAAGTAAGATCTAAGAAGGAAATCATTTTTAAAATCCTATTTCTAAAACTAATACATGGGGCTGGGGATTTAGCTCAGCGGCAAAACGCCTGCCTGGCAAGCGCAAGGTCGTGAGTTCGGTTCCCAGTACCGGAGAAAAACAAAACAAAAAAAACAAAACAAAAACAAAAAAATACAGTGTCATTGATTAATTGGGAGAAACTGATTTTTTTAAGATTCTTCAGGTGTATAGAACACTTTTGTCAGTCTACCTTAACTAGTCCATTGGTTTTTAAAATAGGATAATTTCTAATAGGTTTTGCAGATACGTCAAGAAAAATAACATAAATGTCTTAGCTTCTACCTCTCTGTATATTTTTTATATTAGATATAATTTCATGGAAGTGTAGCATTGCAGTCACCTAGGGGAGCAAGTTTTAAATGGAAATTCCCGAGCACCCTCACCACTACCACCACTAAGGACTTCTAATTCATTGGATCTGGAGTGAAGGCTAAAATGTACTTTGGGGGATGGGAGAGTATTGCGACATGTCTCCCTGTAGTTCAGGCTGTCCTTGAACTCACTATACCGGCCTCAGACTTGTGACAATCCTCTGCTTCTGCCTCCGCCTCCCAAGTGCTGGGATTACAGGCATATGCCATCATGCCTGACTTAGGATGTATATTTTTAATAGCCAGAAGTGGTGGCACATACCTATAAACCCAGAGCTCAGGAGGATTGCTGAGAGTTCAAGGTCAGCCTAGTGCGTTCATTGTCCTGAACCACCATCCTGAACTACATAGTGAGACCCTATCTCAAAAAAAAAAAAGAAAATTAATAAAATTCCCTAACCCTGGTGATGCCAGTGAGCAGGTACCTATATCACAGTTGAAGAAATTTTTCAGTTAAAAATTATATACTCATTTATCAGGGTTATATATCTAGCTGTAAAAGAAGGTTCTGAATCCCAGGGTTCATGAATCTCAAAAGGAAGAAAAATACTTCCTTAGATGACTCAGTACCCTGACATCAAATGTAGATCTGACTGTGTCACTTATAGACTTAAGAGTGATATTAAAGAAAGATTAATACCATACTAAACTTAACTTTCCCATAGCTGTTACAATTCCTATCTCAGTTTTTAGGGTGTGAAGCATTAAATATTAAATCGACAGTTCTGATTGTCTTGGCTATTTTTTAGGTTTTGGGGAGTCCTGTTTTGTGTATTTATGGCCAAAGCACCCCTAGTCTTGGCAGTGTTAAATAATATATTTTCTTTGCATAGTTGGCTTCAGTCTTCCTATTTAAATGATACTCACAAAGTCAGCCAGCCCCCGGATGAGCTAACACTTACTCACAGAGGAATGTGTTTCTCTTGTTTTGTGAGAGTGATAAAGTATACTACCATCCTTTCTTTCAGCTGCATGAGTTACAAGACAGGAACATGGAGTGTCTGGGGATGTTACACGAATCCCAAGAAGAAATAAAGGAGCTTCGTAGTAGATCTGGCCCTGCTGCTCCTCTGTACTTCTTCCAGTCCTGTGGACCTTTTACTGGGGTGAGGAACTGAGGAAGATGCTGTGGGTTTAAAGAAGCTTGTTAACATTGTCCTGAGCGTGATTTGATTTATGATGTCATAAAGTGTCTCAGGAAGACAGAACATGGTTCGTCTGTAATTCATATGTCTGCATCTTCCTTGTATTCTTACTTATTCTAACAGATGACCTTGTAGATGAGTGGTAATAAGTGAGAGGAACCGTCAGGAAATGAGGTTTAAATCTGTACCATAGAGCTCCTTAACCACAGGTCCAACCCGTGTGGCTGCCATCTGCCACTTGTTTAAACAGTAGTCCAAATACCTGTAACTTGTTTCAATAACTCGAGTTTCATGACATGTTTTACTCCAGTTAGAGTGTAAGCCCTCTGAGAATAGGAATTATATTTAATTCATTAAAGATAGTATTTTTTGAGTTATTAAGAAACTTCTCGGCCAGGCGTGGTGGTGCACGCCTGTAATCCCAGCACTCGAGAGGCTGAGGCCAGAGGATTGTTTTGAGTTCGAGACCAGCCTGGGCTACAAAGTGAGCTCGAGGCCTGCCTGAACTGCATAGTGAGACCCTGTCTCAAAAAAGGTAAAAAAAAATAATAATTTCTCCGTTTATGCTACAATTTGTAATGTTGGTTCAAAGAGTTATTTTTACAACCTGTTTCTTAAACATTTATATACAATCCTGTGAAATTTTCTAGAAGGCCAGAAGTATAAATTTTAATATATTTTCTTAAAAATACAGGGACAGGAGTTTTCTAATTTTTTATTTTTAAATAATTTTAAACTTAGAATAAATTTTTAAAAATAGTACAAAGAATGCTCATATATCATTGACCTAGGTGTCTCAGTTTAGTGTGTTTATTAAAAACAAGGGCAGTCTGGTGAATAGTCCTGCATGATCACAGTACAGCTATCAGCATCAGGAAGTGGGCTTGATCCAGTATTTTCATTTAATCCACACACCTGTTGGGTGCTGCTCCAGCCCCCAGTCACCTGGAGGAGGGTACAGTGAAGGATGAAAGAGACAAACAATGATCGAGAATGCCAGAGGGTCAGAGCTCTTTTCAGGCTAATAAGAGACTCTGAACTTGTCATTTTTGATTGAGCATACAGCTTTCCAGGGGGAGTATAGGGAGATCCAGGGAACAACAGAGTGAATGGCTCTGACATGAGCAAGGTCTAGTAAGAGATGAAGTGTTCTTGTATGAATCTGCCACTGATTAATGGGAAATTAATTTTTCCCTTGGGTGAATATTTATTTCTGTAGAATTTTATGTGACAGTCACAGACTCCTCAGCTGAAATGTTATGTCACAGCATCATGGGTCATTGAGACCTCCGCTGTGGCCAGTGGCATAGGGGGTTCTGTTTCCATATGCCAACTGCTGGCTCATCAAGCAAGGCATGCAAGCCTTGGACTGACTCAGACCTTTAATATGGAAAGCCAATTTATGGATTTCTGCCTCGCTCAGGGTGACCCCATCTACAGCCCATTCAGATTTTCCCAGTAGTATCCTTTAAAGAACACATTTCGTTTGGTTGTTTCAACCTGAGGCATTTCTTTTATCTGTTTTTCATGACTTTCATAGAATTCCTCAATTTAGATTTGTCTGAGTAAAGTTAAATAATGCATTCCTGGCAGAAATAACACCATATTACATTCAGTGCCTCAAATCAGTAAGCATATGATGTCTGTTTATCCCATCACTAGTGATGTTAAATAGCTTTGATCTCCTGGTTGAGGTAGTTACCTGCTGATTTTTTTCTCTGTAAAGTTCATAATAATTGTTAACTAAATTACTAATCATTGAACAGTGATGAAAATCTGCAGATACTACTTAACCAAATGATCAACATTAATGTTTTATAGATAGTTTGAAACTAAATATCCTGTTCCTCATCAAACTTTTGCCCACTAATTTTAGCTCCCACTGATGGTTCTGATCTATCTGTGACCATTGCCAAATGGCAGTTGCATAATTCCACCATCTTCTAGCATTTATTAATGGCATTCTGTTATGTCTTCTGTCACATTTGCTTACTCATTATACATTGAGTTATACAAGTGTGACTCAAGGGTTGCTATACTATTAGTGGATTATAAACCATTATTATTACTTGATACTCAGTTTGTCCCCGATGTGGCCAGTGGGATCTCCTCTAAGCTCATCTTGCACTTTTTGTTCCAGTCCTAGAATCAGCCATTTATACTCAGAGCTCTGGTAACACTTTTTGAGGCATAGTGAGTGTTCTGAATCCAAGACCTGGTGGTAGATGTGTGTACCTTGCCACAAGAGTACCATTTCTTCCCTCTTAGGGGTTAGAGCTAGGAAACATATATGTATTTCATACATGCAGCCACACTATGCCATGTCTATCTTCCCACCCACATGTTGTAAAAGTCATAAGCTGACACCTGTGCCCCAAACCCAGTCATGCTCAGTTCAGACCCACTGTGTGTGTCACATGTGCAAGCTGAATCCTTGTCTCTCACTAGGGGAGGAAGAAACTTGCATGTTTTTAACTTAGTTTTCTAACATAAAAACGATACATGTTTGCTACAGATAAGTTAGAAATTATAGAAAAAGGAGAAACTGTTGCACAGAATCACCATTAGCACTTGGTTTATAGCCTTCCTGACCTTTGGTTCTTGTACATCTGTACACAAGGTATTTTCTGTTTATCATTGGTTTTTCCATTGCATTCTTGTAAAAATATTTTATGAGAGCCGGGGATATAGCTTGGGGGTACAGTGCCTGCCTGGCAAGCACAAGGTCCTGAGTTTGATTCCTGGTACAAAAAAATAATTTCATGAAAAGATAGTTCTTGCTTAAAAGTTAATTTCCACAGTGTCTCTTTTTTATTCCCTGAATTATACCCTGTGACTGTGTGTGTGTGTGTGTGTGTGTGTGTGTGTATTTTATTATAACACCCAAAAGAGAGGCTGTAGAGATTCTTTTAATCAATGTAAAGCAGTAATCACTTTAGGAATCTCATACTCTTTCTTTTTAGGAATCTTTGGCAGCTGAGATTGAGGGAACAATGCGTAAAAAGTTGAGTTTGGATGAGGAATCTTCTCTCTTTAAACAAAAGTAAGTATTGGTCACATAGTTGTTGTCACTGCATGAAAACTGAAAGAAGCCACAGGGCTGAAGATGTAGCTCGGTGTCAGAGCACTTCTTTGCATGTGCAAGGCACTAGGTTGAAACTGCACAAGCCATAGCCCAAGTAAAGTTCTGTAGTCAATTTGCTTACCATTCAGTTTTTCCTTCACTCTGTCCTCACAAGAGTTCTCTTATTCTGAAGTTTATTTTCTACAGAACTGCATACACATGACTTCTAAGCACTTTGCTAGTTAGTAGTGATGGTAACGAATGCTTCCTTTTTTGACAGAGCCCAACAGAAACGGGTATTTGATACTGTCAAGGCTGCCAATGACACCTGGGGCCGTTCTGTCCCACTTCCAGCTCTGCTACCCATCCCGGGGTCCAACCACTCGAGTGTCATCATGACAACCAAACCTTTTGAATCTGGTGCCCAACAGACAGAGGACAGAACACTGCTGGGCCAGGGGACTAACTCCAAGGAGGTTCCAGAGTAAGAAACACATTATGGCAGAGATAGTACATTCTTAGGGCCTTGGTGTGTGAGGGTCACATGCTCACATTCCAGCATTTCTCTGTACTGTCCCATGAAGGTTCTGGAACTTTTAATTCCATTTTAATGCCATGCATTACTATTTGTAGGATAGGTCATTGATTTCATAAAATTTATTGGAATGGACTTATTAAGGTATTCAAAACCAAGCTTGCCTTTACTTTCAGAATTTTTTACTTCTACAGTATTGTTAAATATAAGTGTAAAGCTTCGTGTTCAAAGTACAAATTGTTTGAATTGATTTGGTCCTTAACATAAATGCATAAGTGACGTTTTCTCCTAACTGATAGTCATAATCTCAAACACTTTCAGTGCTTTGTGGATTCACATTGAGGTTTCTGTTTTTTTGGTGGTTTTTTTTTTGCCAAATACAGAATTGCTCTGAAGTTCTTATTTGTTCACATTTAGGCTTTTTCCTTTCCATTCATTCAGTTCATTAAATTCCATAAACTAGAAGTTAAACCACATTATGGATGAGTCAGTCAAAAGCTTTTGAAAGATAGATGTTTGCATCTTAGGCAAGTCTTCCTGGTGCAGAAACCTATTTGTGAGGTCTGGTGTATGACCTGGTCTGTCATGAGCGGAGTTTTGGACCCTAGGAGCCTTATGTGTCAGAGTCCTCTCTGTTTCACAGCTGTGTTGAGAGAGGCCCTGGAACAGATTTAAGGGAAACACACAGTGGCCAGGAACAGTTACAGCCCTTCCTGCAGTGTCAGGTATAAGATACTCTCCCAATTTCAAAATGTTGAAATCTGAAAAAATGTGCCCCAGAGAACTATGAAAGTGCAGAATTATACAAATATTTTCTCTTTTAAACTACGTGCAATGTTTGTGGGCAATTCAGTGGCCCAACGCAGTTTTTTTCACATTTTAATATGTTAAATTGTTTTGCAGCTGATGGCATCTAATAGTTTACGAGGAAGCATTTTCTCTTCATAGTGCATAAACTAATGGTACCTCTTCCAATCAGGTTCTAGATTCAGTGAAATATGAGAATAGTTACTCTTATGATTACCTAATCTAAATATATTGGTGAGCATATATGTAGTTTCATAAGTTAAATGAAATAGAGAATTTAGCAAATACGGTATAACAATAAAATATATTGTTTGCCTCTCTGAAGTCATTTGAAATGATCTATAAAAATGATTTATGGCTATAATCTCAGCACCTGGAAGGCTGAGGCAGAGAGATCATTATGGGCAACATAGTGACTTAGCAAGAAAAAGAAAAAATACAAAGGGATATAACTCAGTACAGTGGCCCTGAGTTCAACCACCAATACTGGGAACACATAAAAAGATACATAGTATGCCGGTGATTGGGTTCGTCATTGTTTCTGGATTCCAGATAGCTAAGAAAACACTTCATTTCTAAAACTGGTCTCTTGAATGTTGGCCGCATGGCAGGGAGGGTCTGGACTGTGCTTCTCACCTTTGGATCTCATCGGTGCATGTGATTCTCCCACAGCAGCTCTCAGCCCACAGGCCAGCCAGGACTCCCTGGAGACAGAGATTTGGCTGTAGCACTGCATCGTCTCAGTCTGCGTCGGCAGAACTACTTCAGTGAGAAGCAGTTCTTTGCTGAAGAGTGGGAGCGCAAGATGCAAGTTCTGGCCGACCAGAAAGAAGGGGTTGGTGGTTGTGACAGCCCCCCGGAGAGCCTTGCTGCCCTGTCCACCGACCAGTCGGAGATCACAGAGCTTGGCAGTGCCAGTTGCCTTCGAGGATTTATGCCAGAAAAATTACAAATTGTCAAGCCCCTTGAAGGTAATAAGTCATTAAGGACTCTTTCCAAGCCGTGCACTTTACTAGACTTTCCTTTCCCCAGAACTGAGATTCATGTTGTGATAAGAGTACAAGGGAATCTATGTCTGGATCCCCTTGTTACCCTTAAATCTCACTGTTTGGGCAGTCTTGGCTTGGAAACTTTGTGAGTCTACATTCTCTTAAGTCCTTTGATACTTTTAACATAAATATGAGAGGGGAAGAGGAGTCTTTGCTGTCCTTTGCTAAGGGATATAATTGATAATACTTTCCATGGTAAGATAGGTGGAATATGATAAATGAGAATGATATAATTTCATATTTACCTTCCTTTAAAAAAAAAAAAACCAAAACTCTTAACGCAGTGTCTTGGTCACTTTCCTCATCACTGAAATAAACACCTGACACCTGCACCTTAAGGGAAGAGAGGGTCATTTTGGCTCTCAGTCTCAGCAGTCTCAGCCCCTCCATGGCTGGCCAGCTGCAAGGCAGGAGGTGGGTGAGGGAACAGTCTAGGGGAGGACAGCTGCTCAAGTCATGGCACCCAGGAAACGGAAAGAAGACAGGAGTCAGAGAAGGAGCTACACCCTTCCCGGCCACACCCCTAACGACATTCAGCTGCTGCACCCATGAGGGGGTGAGTGCACTGAGGAGTCATATAGTGCCACCATGACCCAGTCACCTTCCATAAGGTCCCCTCTGACCACATGAGGACGTGGAGGGATACTTCAGATCTAAACCACAATACTCAAGAAATATAATTGCCTTAGAGGGGTGTCTGCCTGTGTTTTTCTATTTTCAGTTCTGTTTCAGTTCAGTTTCTAAGATAGAACTTGAAATTGCAATAAATTTCTTTGTTTTATAGAATATTGACAGTCTTTGAATCTTGCTCTGACATTGTCATAAAACAGTTCTGCATTAAACAAAACTTCGAGTAGGTGACCTAGAAGGACCCCACAAAATCAGAGGTTCTAGAACTTCATTTGATGCAGGTATTTGTCAGTTGCCATTTTTAGGATGAAATGACCATAGTGACATAACTCAGTGTTATATTTGGTACAAATGCTTGGGATGCACATTCACCAGAGTCCCTCAGACTGAAATGAAGGGATGTGTCTTCCTCATTATCATCTCTATTTCCTGTTCTCCCTGGAAGCCCAGAGGAAGGAGAATCTTGACCAGGGTAGGGATCTACACAGACACACTACTGAAAATCCAAGTTACCTTCCTACTCAGGACCCTGGCTTTTGACTTACAAGTTTATTTGCCTGGTTCCAGGCCAGGCAAGTGTTGGTTTTTATCACCTGGGAAAACACATCCCCCTCTGTAGTACTCACTGTCATGGTCTCAGCATCCTGGTTTCTAGGAAGAATGTCTTGGTTGTCTCTCCCCTTCCTTAGATGTCCTTTTTAAAGTTACTTTTGGAAGGGAAGGGTTATTCATATTTTCATCTTGTCAGTTCTCCACAGAAAACTAATTTGCAAATTTTAACAAAACACCTCTTTTTATTTCCCTTTGGCTTCCATATTCAGGATCACAAACTCTACACCACTGGCAGCAGCTTGCTCAACCAAATTTGGGGACCATTCTTGACACACGACCAGGTGTCATTACTAAAGGCTTTACCCAGTTGCCCAGCGATGCTACCATCTATCACATCTCAGATTTAGAGGAGGATGAAGAGGAGGGAATCACTTTTCAGGTGCAGGAGCCTCTTCAGGTGGAGCAGAAGCTTGAGGTATCCAAGCCAGTAGCAGGGATCTTCCTGCCACCCATCAGTTCAGCAGATGGACCTGTTACAGGTGAGATGATTTGGTTGAATATGGCCTAGAAACTCAAAGCACTTTGCATTCATATTCACTGTGTGGTCAGCTAGCTACCTCTGCACTAACCTCACTGGAGTGTACTCATATTGCGTATATTATTACTATTGTGCTATATCATTATATGTAATGTTACTATTTATTGTCATTGCAGTGAACATCTGCAGCATTTTTAGCAGTCCCAGTTCTCTCCACTTCATCTTAGCCAGCCTGCATAAATAGATTTGGCAGAGAGAGCTCAGTTCAGTTAGTGGTTCACAAACCTTTTGGTCTCAGGATCTTTATATTAAAGTCTTTGAGAATTCCAGAGGGTTTATCTTTGGGGGTTTTACCTGTTGATAAACATTAAATAAAATTATGTCATTAAATGCTACACAAATACTGTGTCCTAGGAAAGTAGCTGTATTTCTTAAATGTGAGAAAAATAGCTTTGTTTAATGATTTTGCAAACCTCTAGCTCCTGACAGTAGAAGGTAGCTGGATTGTTGGGTTTCATCATCAGTTTCTACATTAAATCTGTTGCAGTACTGTGATGTTTAGGTTGAACAATATGAAGAAAATGTCTGTCTTAATACTCAGAGTGCTTAATGCATACTTCTCTCTAGTTGCACAGCATAGTAAAAAGATTCAGGCACTAAGATTCAATGGATAATTTTTACTGCTTAACGAAGGATATTCTTACCTCACACAAGATAGCTGGAAAAGGAAAGAGTATTTTAATAGTCTTTTCAGGTATTTATGTTTATTTGATATTAGGAGTACACTAAACCTTGCTAAGTGGTAATTTCTTGAACATTTGTAGCATTGCACTGTTGAAACACTGTTAGTGAATTTTCACACTTTGTTACATTAAAATGCACTAGCATACCCTCTGCTTTGAATGTATCTTTTACTCATGCCTGGCTTGGTAATACACATTGGTCATTAAGAAGATGACCACTAGTTCACTGAGTTAGGCTGATCTTCCAAGTGTTGACACATTTCCTTATATGTAATTTATTAAAATCACATTAATACCACCATGTATCACAGCATAAAAGTCGAAGTATTAGAAAGCTTTCAAGCTCCCAGTGATGGGTACAAGTTTTCCAAAACCCTAATTTTCACTTGAAAGCTCAAATTTTGTCACTGGCAAAAAAGTCAGCAAATTTAAAAAAAAAAAAGGCTCACTTCCCCCCCTTTTTGGGGGTGGGTACTGGGAATCAAACTCAAGACCTCATGTTTGCCAGGCAGGTGCTGTATCACTGAGCTAAACCCCTGACCCCTCTTCATTCATTTTTTAAGAAAATGCCAAGTACCCTATTCTAGGTAACTTTTCTGTTAGTTGTTTTTTCAAGTAAAAATGGTGTTCCATCATGACAAAATTTCAGCTCAACTGCAATTGTAGATAATTATTATCTCTATATGCAGCAGGAGTGCTTAATGCATACCTCTCTGTAATTGCACAGCATAGTAAAAAGATTCAAGTACCAAGATTCAAGGGCTAATTTTTACTGCTTAACAAAGGATATTCTTAGGTAAACCTGGTCTTTTTACATATTATGAGTGTGTAACAGTGACAAATTCAAGTAAAATCTGGTTACATCCTTGGTTCATGGTAAAGAGCCAGCACTTTTACCTACTATTATTTTTGCACTAAGAATCCAAATGTCAGCCCCATCAGGGAAAAAAAAAAAAAAAAAGGCCCCATCTTAGCATTGCTGTGAAAGTAATTCTGATCTATGAACTCCCATAGTCTATAGACCACCCACAGCTGGGTGCTTTAGATGACTAGGTCTATTTGTTGTGTTGTTTTTAATGTGTTTTTTTCAGAGTATGGTTTTCTCATGTATAGTATATTTGTATGTCTTTTATTTGTAGTTTTAAATTTTAGAAGGATTCAACTACATACTAACCAGCTAATACTAGTATAATCTATGTATATTTCATTTCCACGCTTAGGGACTTTTACTACAAAGGCATTTGATAAATACTTTTTTTGTTTTGTTTTGTTTTGTTTTGGGGTTTTTTGGTACCAGGAATCAAACTCAGAACCTTGTGCTTGCCAGTCAGGTGCTGTGCCATTGAGTATATCCCCGGCCCAAAGGCTGTGTTATTAATAAATAATGATGAGCTTTTTCCATTGTTAGTTTTCAATTTCATGTTTGGCACCCTAAAAATCCATTTCAGCTGCAACCTCCAACCCAGGAAAGTGCCTGTCATGCACGAACTCGACATTCACCTTCACCACTTGTAGGATATTGCATCCCTCTGATATCACTCAGGTTACCCATAGGTAAGAATGCTTGGGAAATCTGGGGCCTCACATGAATTTCTTTTTTCTTTTTTGGTTTTTCTCCGGTACCGGGAACTGAACTCATGACCTTGCGCTTGCCAGGCAGGCGCTTTTGCCGCTGAGCTAAATCCCCAGCCCATGAATTTCTTTTGAAAATTACCTTCTACCTTAATACTCAGAGTTGTAATATCCTGTGGTCATTTGTCTTTAGAGTATTACATCATATTTTCTCACTTGATCACTATAAAATTTTTTGAAGCAGGACACAGTGTGTATTTTATAAAATGAAGAAGGAGACATAAAAGTTGAAGTTACTTATCCAAGGGCAGACAGCTAGCAGATGGCACAGCCAAGGCTGTGCTCAGAGCTCACCAGGCTGCAAGATTTGAGGGACTGGCCTCTGCACACGACCACCTTTATTTCTGATACCGTGTGCAAGTTCAGGGGATTCCCAAACCGTCCAGGAGGACTCAGAAAGCTATGATAACTTGTGGCTGCTCCTTTTGTAAGGAAAAAATTCAGGATGAAATTACCCAAAGGAGAAATGACAGGGCAGTCTCTGGGGATTCTGCATATGAAACTTTTCTTGCGCTTAGGATGCGTTACTCTCCTGACACTGATGTGAGCACGTGGAATGTTGCCAACCAGGGAAACTGACTCAAGCATCAGTGTCCAGAGTTTTTATTGAGGTTGAGGCTTTGGCCTCCAGCACAACTGATACTGCATGACCCAAAAAAGCGCCCACACTAAATCACATTATTGGCTCTTTTGGCATTGCCAGACCTCGCCCTGTGGGTACTGGGTACAGCCAGCCCATCCTGAAATCTAGTATGACCATACCCCACTCTGACCAAAGCCACTCCTAGCATTTACAGTAGAGACTGATTCCCAGAAGTGGAGGCCAGACTCTCTAGATAGGGCCAGATCACTTACTGCAAAGGCTTCCTTTTCTTTTTTGTTTGTTTGTTTTTTGGTTGTTTTCCAGTACTGGAAATCGAACTCATGACCTTGGGCTTGCCAGGCAGGCGCTCTGCCATTGAGCTAAATCCCCAGCCCCAAGGGCTTCCTTTGTAGCCCATGTGGATGCTGTTTCTCACCTACCAATGCCCAAAAGAAGTTAAAGAGAGGTTTCAGAAGGTACTGACTGGTAGGAAAGTTAACCAGAACCAGGACACAAAGATGACCAAAAGCAAGGGTGTAAAGGGGTGCAAGAAGGAACCCTCGGGGCTGGGGATTTAGCTCAGCGGCAAAAGCGCGTGCCTGGCAAGCGCAAGGTCGTGAGTTCGGTTCCCGGTACCGCAGAAAAACCAAAAAAAAAAAAAAAAAAAAAAAGAAGGAACCCTCGTGTACAAACTGTGTAAAATCTATAATAATATGCCTACAGTTCTTTTATAGTTTTCTTATAGTCACCAAGATAAGTTTTATAAAATTGGTTCTTGAAGGGAACTTTGAATACAAGTTAATGCCATCATATGAAGTATACAGCTGGGAATGGATGAGCGATTTTACAGTGAAGTAGGAAGAGGGAATTTAGAGACAGGGCACACAGTGTTGACTGTGCCAGATCAGATGTTCTTAGTTCAACTGGTTTAACTGAAGAGCAAAACTCTCCTGAGTAAAAGTTGTTCTAAAAAGTTTATGTATTACTCTTGAACTTGTATTTTGTTCATAATCTTTAAAAGTCATGGCATGGTACAGTAGTATTCTGTATTGAAGTATAAGTGTATTAAATGCTGGTAAACTGGCTAAAGAAGAAAGAACCTATACATTCCACCGCCATTCCCTTCAGTACATGATTTCTTATTTCGTTTTTCTTCTTAATGTAGAATAAGAATAAATACTCTAATTGCTGTCAAAGCTTTTAATTATATTTAATTTCCTAGAAGCACATGTTCCAAATCAAGATTCCATGGATATTAGCATTGTCTGGAACTAGCATTTCTGGAGCAGCATGGAAATTTAGTAGACATTGGGGCTGGGGATTTAGCTCAGCGGCAAAAGCGCCTGCCTGGCAAGCGCAAGGTCGTGAGTTCGGTTCCCGGTACCGGAGAAAAAAAAAAAAAAAAAAAAAAAAAAAAAAAAAAAAACGAAATTTAGTAGACATTTATTGTTCCTCAGTGATATAAAACTTAAAAATTAAGAAATAAAATTCTGAGCATTTTGGGTCTCATTACAGAGGACTGTATTATTTTTAAAACTCAAGAGTTGTTTACTTGTGGGTTGTTGTTTCTTGGTATATACTTCACTTTATGGAATGGAGACGTTAATAAAAATAAAACACTAGCTTGCGATTGCTCTTGGTCTGAAGCACTCTCCCGTTTTTTCCTTGAGCTCTGGGCTCCCTCTGCTGTCGTGTGGAAGCAGCGGGAGCGCCTCGCCCAGCACAGCTGTGAACTCTCCAGCTGCATCCTACCGGCTCAGCGTTGGCGAGTCCATCAGCAACCGACGAGACTCCACGACAACCTTCAGTGGCACCGTGAGCCTGGCCAAACTCCTTCAAGAGCGGGGTATCTCTGCTAAAGTGTACCACAGCCCGGTTTCTGAGAAGCCGCTTCTCCAGCTGCTCCCCAAAACCCTAGCCACACCTTCCACACCACCAAATTCCCCATCTCACTCACCATGCCCCTCTCCTGTGCCCTTTGAGTCCCGAGTGCATCTCTCTGAAAACTTTTTGGCTTCTCGGCCAACTGAGACGTTCCTCCAGGAGATGTATGGCTTGAGACCTTCACGGAACCCTCCTGACGTGGGGCAGCTAAAGATGAACCTGGTGGACAGGCTGAAGAGGCTAGGCATAGCCAGAGTGGTCAAGGCCCCCGAGGCACGGGAGAATGGGGAGAGCCGAGAGGCAGAAGTTGGTCTTCAGAAAGGAGACTCTGCTGTGTATTTAAATTCAGGTAGCAGCTTACTGGGTGGGCTGAGGAGGAATCGGAGTCTTCCAGTCATGATGGGGAGCTTTGGTGTCCTGGTATGCACCTCCTCACCCAGAATGGGCGTCCTGAAGAAGGACTAAGGCTCCATGTGAACTGGCCTCTTCTACAGGGGGGCACACAAAGGGCAAATGAGCACTGACCCTGTAGTGTGGTCTGACTGGAGGGAAAGGGAATGTTGCAGAAGGCTGTGGATGTGGAGAGAGGGGTTGGGAGGGTTGGGAACAAAGCTGGGATGCGGTCCTCAGCGATGGAGTTTGGTAACTGAAAGTGTAAATGGATGGGCCCAGAGTGTCTGGAGACAAGAAAACAAAAGGTTCAGTGCCCTCCTTCAGTGGAGCTTTCTTGTCTTGAAAATCAAAACTGAGTAGAGAATAAATTCAATAATATTGAAGCCTATGAGAAGTACCTTCCCTCAGTGAGCTGAACAGGAGGCTTGCCCAGGACAGGAAGAGACAGAGCAGCTGGGACTGCTGCTAGTGGAAGCTACTCTGTAGACAGGCGTGGCAGGCTGGGTCTGTCACTGTGGCAGGTGGCGGTGAGACCTCCTGTTCCCCTGCTGGTGTCCAGTGAAACTGCATGAACATCTGATGTGTATGCACAGCACTAGCAAGACAAGGGATTTTATGTATTTCATTAGGTCGAAGTACAGACTTCTCCTTTCTGTTTTCAGATCTTTAAGCCACTGGGAACCCAAACACCATCTAAATTTCTTTGTATTTATGATTACTAAAAGTTCATTTTTACAATTTATATTTTTATACAACATCAAAAACTAAACCATGGATAAGGGTTAGGAGAGATTTACTTTAAGAAGGAAAATAAGAGTTATTTAGAACCAAGGAACCTTCTTTTTATAATATTCCGGGTAATACGGTGCCCAAGGAATACAACCATAACTTCCTTCAGATCTTCTTAGAGGCTGGAAGGGTTAAACCAGAAGTGCAATCTATAGGAATTAGATTATGTTGTATATTTATATATTTAATTTTTTGTAAGAAGAGTTGATTGCAACTTTTTCCAAAGTGCACTATGCATATTTTTAATGAAGATGACATGTATTTGCACAGTAATTCTCAGGCACATTAAATTATTATAAACTGAAGTAAAACCCAGGTGCTTGCTTTGAGAGTGTGTGGTTTTTCATTTTTTTCCTAATGTATATTAAAACACATCTGCCTCATTCTTGGGTATCTGTGGAATTAGAGAATGAACTTTTCAATGGGAGAGTTAAAACTTCTTTGAGGTTCTTTTCTTACTAACTGAAATGACAAAGCAAGGCTGCAGATGAGGGTCAGCATTCAGCCATGTGGCACAGAGCTCTTCTGGGAGGAAGCTGCTGGGCAGGGTCTGCTCGTGGAGGGTGACCTAGCTCTGTCAGGCCCTTCTGTCAGGAGAGGATGTGGTAGGGAAGTGAGGGAGGTGACATGTTCTTTTGTTGATAAAAACAGATGTATCTCTTGGTGTTTTTGGTGCTTAATTTGCAAGTATTTTGCTCCTTTAATCTGACTTAGCTGAAAGGCAGTTTCTGAAGAATTCTTGACACCTACTGTGTTCCCCCACTCACCTAAACCCAGGCACATGGGAGCCCTTCCTCTCTTGTCCTGTGCTACATCCCCCGCCTGAAGAGCCTGTGCTCCCAGTGGTAGGAAAGCCAACATGCACGCAGTGGTGAGAATGTGTGAGTTGTCCTGCTTTTTAGAATCTTTTCATAACACTTCAAAATAGGTGATGGAGAGAGCTATCTCCTCCCTTTCTCCTTCACCCAGTCTTAAATTTGTGCACACGTTTAGAAGGGATCCCAGGTCAGTATGTGTTCCTGAATGGGCCAGGCACTAAAACACGAGAGAGCTGAGTGGCACAGTGCCTGCCTGACAAGCACAAGGTCCTGAGTTAGATTCCCAGTACAAAAAACAAAACAAAAAATAAAGTAAAATTTCTAAATCTCCCAGTTCATTTTTTTAAAAGACAACATTTGAACTTCTACTCTATAAAGTAACTTGGGTGCTTCCTTTAGCCAACTCTTAAAGCTGTTTGTTCTCTAAGAAAGACATCTTCCTGTTGCCTGGGCATTTACAGCTTCTAAGAATATCAGAAGTAGGAAAATGTGGGACCAGGAAATAGTACAGTGTTAAATTATCAGATTTATATATTATGTAAATGACTAGAAATTAAGCTAGATTTTTGTAGTGTTCTGTGTTAAGTATAATATATATACTTTTCTATAATCGATGGCCAGATGATCAATGGAGGCAGAATGGGTGTTTCAGCAGCCAAATAAGCATATCTGACTAAACAAAACCGACTTAGGTTCTGAAAGTAGACTGATACAGATGTTCTGTCAGAACCAAAAATTGTAGACTCGCGCATGCTTGTCTGTAGAAATGAATCCTGTCTTAAAACTGGGTTTTGCTGCTTTTGCAGTTTCTACCTAAAATCATTTTGGTACAGCCTGAGAACCTATTACATCAGAATTGTCTGCAACATGTGATAAGAAGAGCTGGAGCCTTATAGCAGCTCCTCAGCTTACCTATGTCATATTTTCATTTCTTCTGTAGAGTCAGTGGTACTTTCTTGCCAGTATGGGAAATCCCAATCCGTTTTTTGTTTTTGTTTTTTTAGTTCCTTCTTCAGCAGTTTTAAGTGATTATACCTGTTATTTTTGAGTATCCTATTATCTGTAGGAGAGATAACCTTTGTAAGCTCAGAATTTAAAGTTCTGAATTATGAAGACCCAAATCTATGTAACCAGCCTTAGCTGTGGATCTTTGGGGAGAAGTTAATGACCATTGTTAAAGTCGGTTTTTTTTTTAAAAAAAGTTTTATGTTGTCCTTGATTTGACACAAATCATCAGACTTCGGCAAGGGAGGAAGTAAGTTAGAGGCAATTTATGGCAGCCTGTGCTCTATAAAAGACATGTTTGATGCAGTATTCAAATCTTGTTATTTTTTCTGATTATCCTAGTACATGTTAATGCTGGGTGGGCCTCCCATCACCTGACTTGTGGAACCAGGGCCCTTCGTGTTGTTCTCTGTCCCGGGTGCGTGGGGCCCTGCAGCCCTGATCACCCTGGGCGCAGCCCCAGGGCTGGTCGCAGCACCTTCTGCCAGGGCAGCCGGGAGCTGCCAGTGTGTAAAGTGTGGGACCTGCCTCAGTTTCTGTGCCCCTCCCTGTGTTTTGTCAGATGTAGATCAAATAATAAACATGAGTAACTTCTTAAATTTTTCTTTGTCTCCTTATGTTTTTGTCCCAACTACCCTACACAGATAACACTGCGCTAAGTCTTTCCTTTATGTTGTTCATTGGCTAGAAAACCTGTACTTGTCAAACCAACACCCAAAACAAACCACTAGTAATAAGTAGTAAACAGAGCTGTGTGTCATAGATATGTTTTAAAAATAGAATAAACAGTGTCAGTATATATCATAATATTTCCTTAGCAAAGTAACAGCAACCAAAAATAAAATCTAAACTCATCAATATTCAGATAATAAGTTCGGAAAGATTCAGTAGGTGTGAAATTTTCCTGTAATTCACAGTTTAATGTTAACAGGCTTAGCTATTTAGAAATTGTTTTTAAGAAAGTAATACAAACCTGGTTGGACTCCAGTAGGGAAGGTCCTCGTAGCTCCACAGGGTGGCCTTGCTTCTCAGACACTCATTTAACATCCGCGTGGACTTAGGAACGTTTCGTGAAGAGTAAATGAAGTATGACACTATGGTTTGGATATAAAACATAACATTCCCAACATTTTTAATTGTGTTTTCTTTCACAAATAAATATCCAAAGTCCAAAACACCCGGTAAGGATGAGCAGCTGGGCCTGCAGTTGGTTGATGAGCAGTGTTAATGGTGACAGCCATAGAAAGTATGAGGAAATCGTGCAAAGGGAGATAGGAGATGTTAGTGCAAAGTACATGCACCCAGATACACAAGAATCAAAGTATTTCACAAAATTTCATTTTCTTGCCTCTCAAAAAAATAAATACTTAAAAAGCAAGGTTTTCATATCACACTCAAACATTAAAGTGGGCTAGAAGATTTTACCAGGTTTTTAATCAGTTTCATATAAGCGGCTACTGTACACAGCTGTTTTCATTGTCTCCCACGAAGCCTCTCGATCTGCCCAGGGCTTTAGCGACTTGGATCGTGCTTCATCTGCCCCTCCACCCAAGTTTAGTCAGAACTCTATTGCAAAATGCTCTTCCTGCACTGTTGGTGTAGATGCTACCCCAGTGCACCAGCTCAGCACCTGGAAATCACGTCCATGACCTCCCTGACCTGTGTACCCAGCCGCAGCGCACACCCCAAACCTCGATGAATATGCACGCAGATTTGTTTTGAAGGTCAGGGCTGAGGTGTAGAGAAGCATCCCTGAGACCTGAGAGCTGATGATGACGAAAGCAACGTTCAGGGAAGTGGGCCCTGCTGGCCAGAGCCCAGCTCCAGCCTAAGTGACCCGTGCTCTTCGGTAAGTGCAACTTGGCCCCTGCCTGGGAGTGAGCATCGCAGCCTGAAGCCAGATCTCCAGTGTCTGCCAGTGATGAAAGGAACTGAGCAGGGCAGAGACAGTTTCCAGCTTGTTAGGAGAATGGTATTCCCTGAAGTGGGGCTGTTTAAGTGCTGCGAATGGCCTGCAGTGTCCAGTTGCTCTTGGCCAACCCTGAGTGGCACCTCAGGGTGCTGCAGCACCGTGCAGTATGAAGTCCCTTCCCCGGGTGTACACTGATTTTGGTAATGTGGCCGTCTGGACTGCGTCAGCTCCTCTCGTGTTCAGCTTGAGCTTTGTTACACTGTGGTTCCTTGTCTCCTCCACCCCTGCTCAAATACCAGGGCACTGTGCTCCAGAGGAAGAGACAGGGTGCCAGTGTTTCCCTGTCTAGTGAGAGAGAACAGCTAGCACTTCACCCCTAAAAGCCTTCATTTCCTTCCTCTTTGCTGCTTTAGAACTGACAAAGCTATAGCCATGTCCAAGAGGAGGAAAGGAAAAACATTCCCAGCTAGTGGAAACCAGTGGCTAAGGCATGTGGCTGCGGTTTTCCTTCAGCACCTGCTTCTTTCTAACTTAGTTTTCAGCCATTCTTCACCCAAAACCCAAATCCTGCTTTTTACAAATTGTAAGAACGCTTTTAAATATAAAATTTTACATGATGAATGAACTCAAATATCCAGTCCTTAGATAGAGATGAATTTGCCCAGAGGACTGGTCAAATCTACCAGTTTTTTTCTGTGTGTAATTTCTTTCTTTCCTCCTTTTAAACTTTGAAAGTCTCCACCTGTCTGTTTGTGGCACTTGGTGTCATGGAAGCCTCAGTGCAACCAGGAAGCTTCTGTCTGTCCAGCCAAGGCAGGCATCACAGGGGCGTTGGTGAGTCTGCCCCAACTCTCATTACGTTGCCTCCAGACTCTGTACTTCATGAAGCTCATCAACCTCATTGATTTAAGCCAGTAATGATCAGGTCACAGCTGTAAGTGCTTTAACCCATGGCCCACGTTTCAACAAGTACAAATACTGGTGCTCCTGGGTCTCGGCTTGGTTCTAGATGCTCCTCTGACACAACCCCCTCCCTTCGTGACCTCACCCGTTTCCAGTAGTAACTGGGTTTCTAGCCCAGGCTCTTCCCTTGAACTCCAGGAGACATCGTTACTTTGGTCCTTCCCTGATACCTACACTTGTCAAAAACTGAGCTTGTGATCTTCCCCCTACGCTTGTTTGTCCCCCAGACTTTCCTGTCTCAGTAAGTGGCACCTCCACTGCCATAGCCACTAGAGCTAGAGACCTAGAAATGCCACTGTTTCCTTCACCCTGATACCCGGCCACCAGTCCTGCTGTGTCTTCTATCCACCCTCCTACTGCTCCTCAGCTGGGGCCACTGAGAGCTCATCTGGACTCTGCCACAGGCACCGACCTGGCTCTCCTGCGCCTTGTCAGGGCCCCTCCAACCGTTTCTCTGCCCTCCAGTCAGAGTGATGTTCCTAATATGCAGATCCGGTCAGACCCCTATTAAAACAATTGCTTGCCTTGTAGAGGTACATTCCTCACTGTAAACAGGTGAGACTCAAGGTAAGATTCATTGTGCTTTCCTTGAACACAATGTCTGTTTGCCGCCTGTCAGACTCTGTTGAACACAAGAACTGAGCTGCCTCCCTAAACCTCCCCACAGCACTTGGCAAGCAGGAGCCAAGGAAGGTGCAGTCGAATGTAGGGATGAATTTATAACAAGGTTTGTAAACTGGGTTGCAACCCACGAGTGAGTCAGGAAATCAATCTAGTGGATTAGAATTCATTTAGAAAAACAAACAATATAAACAACGGAGGTATTATTATTTCATGAAACTTTTAAAATGAATCATAATGAGCTGGGCGTGGTGGCACACCCCTGTAATCTCAGCACTCAGGGGAGGCTGAGGCAGGAGGATCGTTGGGAGTTTGCAGCCAGCCTGGGCTACAAAGTGAGCTCAAGACCAGCCTGAGCTGCATAGTGAAACCCTATCTCAAAAAAGGCAAAAAAAAAAAAAAAAAAAAAGACATCAAAAAGACAAAAATAAAATAAAATGAATCATAATGAGTTGCAGTAATAACAAAGTAAAAAAGCAAGTAACATTCCTATGGTGAGAAAATAGCAATTCTAGTCAGAAAAAAAAGTTTTAAAATTATTAGTAACTGAAAAAGCCCCCACCCTGGGAGAATGTACTTTACAGATTACAAAGCTTAGAGTCCAGAAGAAAGTGCCAGTTTCAGAGCTCCTCACAGCTTCTGCCTAGCAACTGTGGCCATGGGCCAATCAAGCCTAGAAGTGCCATTTAATTTTATTTGTCCTGAAAATAGACCTTAGACTTATTCTGTCTCACAGCTGAAACCCACTGTGAATTCCCTGCTGTTGAGGATGGTAACTTGATTTGTGTCTTGGAGAACTTAACTGGCTGCTTCTCCAACCTTCTATAGGAACAGAGGCCCTTGATCTAATGAGGTGCTACCATTCTGTTTCCATAGTGATAAAAGAAACAAACCTTCACTGCTACTCCCCAAGGAGGAACCTTGCAAGTCAGGCCCGTTGCTGAGTGGAAGGGTGTTTCTCCTCTTGTGAGACTGACTGGATTGTCTTCAGAAGTTACTGTTCGTGACAGTGCAACCTTTGTGGAAGCCTCAGATTAGATTCCGTGGAAGTCTGTCTCTGACTACTCATACTGTGGATTTCTGCTTTGGTATCTCGGCCACTTGGAACAACCACTGAAGTTCTGAATTTTGGAACCTCTGAATTTGACTTAAAATGAATTCAGTTTCTCTATAACATTTTGGTTTCTTTAAGATACTTGATTTGGGAAGGAACCACATAAGAAAAATAAACCTTTGAGCAATCCAAGGTAAGTTATTTTGAAAAGATGTTTTATTTAATTTTTTCTAGTTGTTTATACCAACTAGTGTGTCACCAACTGGTACATCCAGCCCTCTAGTCTTCAGACAAATCATCAGAGAGAAACGCAGAAAAGGGAAAGAAGAGAGAGAAAGAATCCTTAAACAAGCACACACATACCTATATCCTCGCAACTATATAGTATTACATCAAACCAGCAGGAGTTCAGATCAACCTGTGCTGATATGGAGTATCTATTAGGTATCTTGTAATATATAAAGAGCAAGGTGCAGCATAGTGTGCAAATTATGCAAAAAAATTAAATATGCCCCCACAAAAATAAATACACAGAACATTTCTGGAATGATGCCTAAAAAGACTGTTAACCGGTTTCCTCTTGGCAGGCGCCTAAACATGGAGGGCTCATGTTTAGCTGGTATGCACAGTTGCTGACAGCAAATGGCCATTGTCCAAGAACCGCAAACATCCTTCTTGTCACCTTGAGTGTCCCAAGAGCTCATATTCAGTATCTAATATGGGGTGGGGGAGTGCAGTCCCCCAGTACTTGCCAACACCCTGTAATTCATACCCATCCCGGTTGTTCAACAGCTTTGTATTTCTGGGTGTTAAATTTTTAAAATATCACTTCTATGGGTATTTGAAGAAAGAGAACTTTGTAACAGCAAACTAACAACATCAAAACATTGTTTATAATGAGAAAAAAGAAACCACCAAACGTTCATCAACAGAAAACTGGTCAAAAATATAAATGAAGCTAGGTGTGGTGGTACACACCAATAAACCCAACACTCTAGAAAGCTGAGGCAGGAGAATCAAAAGTTTAAGCCCAGCCAGGACAACTTAGCAAAT